CCATCTCCTGGTGGCAGTGGTAGCTACTAACTACGTACTGCCAACTGGGAATGGGACACGTTCGGGCTGTCGCCCAGTCCACTTCAGAACACCAAGGCGACTCGAGTGCGGGAGGGGCGGGCAAGGTGCTAAAAGCTGTTCACATATTTATATAGCCGACTCTCCGAATAACCATATATGGACAAACATTTAAACAAACAAACAAACACAACAGAACACACTCGGTTGGGCTTTTTCTCTGGGATGCAATGCGATGGGATAAGATGGAATGGGAGGTGAGAGTAGCTACTGGTGCTAAAAATGGGTCACATTCTTGCCGTTGCACGTTGCCCCATGAATGGCGTTCATTTTGTGGCGCCAAGGCGTTGCAAGCTGCTGGAAAAACAGACAGCACAAAAGTAGCTCTCCGGAGTACGGAGTCGGTAGTCCAGAGACCCTCGACCAGAGGCTTCCTCCCAGCACTGAGAAAATATTAGAAATATATCTTAAATATTCTGGAGTAAGGTTTACATAGTCCTACGCCTTATAATCAATAATTTCCCCATGATAAAAGCAGGTTAAATATTTATTATCCTATTTAAATGTTAATATCTCAGTTAAAAACTCTAAATTTTTCTGTGTGCAACTCTTATGACAGCTCCCTTGCCCCCGCAGGCTCGTTAACACTTTTTCCAGCAGCTTATTTATTGCATATCAAGTGACACCTCAATCCCAGGGCAAATCCGAGATGCAGGGAGCAGGGAACTGGGAGCAGGGAGCTGTGAACTGGGAGCTAAGAGCTGGGCTAACTGCTCTGGGCCGGGCCAAATGACGTCGTCAACGTCGCTTCAGAAATGTTTTGGCATAAATTAAACAAGGGCTGGCGCACTTACCACTGCACTACGGCATTGTCCAGTCGGGAGCGGGAGCAGGGAGCAGGGAGCAGGGAGCAGGGATGCAGGAGGATGTACGGGGGACTTCCCCCCTTTTCGGTCCGGTTCGGTCTGTTTGCCTTCCATTTTGTCACACATTGGAGAGCTCAAAGAGCGACGCCAATTTGTCTGAAATGTTTTGAATTCTAAGCGAGGACGAGCGATCTGGCTGGTAGTACTTGCCTGGCGGATGTGATGTATGTGGGATGTGGGATGTGAGGATGTGGGATGTGAGGATGTGATGTGCGTCCGCCCGGCTCTTTGTGTCGCCTGCCATATTTGCCTGGTGGAGCATGGTCCTGGCAGAGTGTTGATGTCCTCCTCGTGGCCTGTTTGATTTTACCATTTTCCATTTTTCCACTCCAACTCCCACTCCTCTTTGGCTACCCGGCGGGAGTCAATCAATTCGGTTCGGTTGCGGCTCGAGCTCAGGCTTGGGCTCGGGCTCGGGCTCGGGATCCGTGTGAATTATGTGGCGATAAACTTGGCCAGGATGGTGCAACTTGTTACCCAATATTGTGTGGCAGCCTGAAAGCGAAACACCTGCTGCAGATGCCACAGATGCGAGCAGCAGCAGCACCACCACATACTGTCCCGTACCGGGCTCACACGTTGATCTTATCGCTGCACACACCCAAAATGAAAGAGCTTGGCCCAAAAAAAAATAAAATAAGGAAAGAAAAGAGTGGATGAGCTCAGGCAGAAGAATCTCCGCGGGCACAGCTTGGGTTAAAATAATAGGAATATTTTTGGTTAAGATTTCATACCTATTATTTTTAATTTGAGATAAAACCAATCTTATTTTATGGGTTATGCTTACGGCGATTTTTTACAGTTAAAATTAAGTTTTTGTTATTAGCATTATATTATATTTAACAAAGTCAAAGCCTGCAAGTGGTAAAATAAATATTTTATTGCTAATTCTGTGAATTTTTAGACAATAATAATGTTTATATCCTTGAGGGTATTATATTTAAGTCAGAAGGTTAAAACTCAGTGAAGGAGTCATTTCCGACCCTATAAATCATATATATTCTTGATCAGCATCAACAGCCAAATCTTTCTAGCTATGTGCGGTCAAAAAAATATTTTTGAAAATTTTTCGAAATTTAAAATTTTTATAAGGGGTTACATCGTTAAATTGTTCAAAAATTGGCAAAAAATGGATTTTTTTAAAATTGTAAATTGGGTATGCAGATTTATTAACCTATTAAAAAATAACATAGGGCCGCTCTCCGAATTCAAATTAATTATTTTTAGCTTAGTTATGACTTTTTTAAACATTGAATAATCGAAATAATTGTCTTATAAAATATATATAAGTATGGATTCAAAGAAAGCGAATATTTTGAGCTTACTTGTGGATAGCGTTTTACGATTCGATCGTAAAATTCAATAGCAAACTGCAAGGGCTCTGGGCTCCCCAAATTTAGTTCTCTCTCTTATTTAAAAAAAAAGATTATTAACTTACCCTGCTCTGTATACCCCTTGCATCTTGTCTCTGCCGGCTTCATGGGCTGCCGTGCTACGTAGCCTCAGTATGCAAGTGCAACTGCAACACCGATCCGACTCCGGACTTGGGCTTATCTCACTGACCATGATGATGATGCTGCCTTGGCCTTGGGCGTTTCCTCCTCCACCTCCTCCTACTCCTACTCCATCTACTCCTTCGATTCCTTCGACTCCTACTCTGCACCTCTTGGTGTTTCTGTTTTTGTCGTCCATCCGTTGCCATTACCTCTAGCACCATTTATTTACATTCATTCCTTATTATTTCTCGAGCTCGGAGAGGAGCAGCGGCTGGGAATGGGCAGTTGGCCAAGTCAAGGGCCGCGGCTCGCCTCATTGTCTGGCCACGATGATGCTGGAACCAACCGCTGCGGCGGACCTGCCCGCTAATTTCGCCTCTTCACAGATCCCCGATCCCTGCCTCACTGCCTCCTCTGTCCACTCAGCCTGATGTCCATCGCAGCTCCTTGTGCGATTTTGGGGTCCCGGCTTGTGTGGGTTGCAGCTCAGGTGAAATTCCTTTTGGTCTTAGCTTGAAGGAGTTCATTTTCAAGATGGTCAAGATGGGTATATCGATTTCTTAAGGATCTGTATATATCTAGAAACTTTTACTTGACTAAAGCTAAGCTGTAGGGTTTGGCAGACAAAAGCCCTTTGTACTTTTTTGTAATATTTCTTGTTCCTTTTAGTAAAGGGTATCCCCAAATCGATTCTATACTGCTAGAAGTTCCCCGCGATTTCAGCCGGACTCTGCCTTGTGGGAGGCTCATGAAAAATTGAGCAAGTGCGGCACTTGCAATTTCAACAGCTCATCTGCCGCTGCGCAAAACAATTTCTTGGCCCAGCAGCAGGAGCAGCAGCAACTTTGCCTCCTTCACGACTCCAAACTGAGCTTCGTTTACCTGGATTCCAATAGCTGTGGAGCCCAGTCTCTCCTCTTGAATTTCTCAACTGGCAAGTGGTTAAGTTTTAGTTCAGGAAGAAAAGTAAAAGAAATAAGCAAAGAAAATAATTGCACCTTGATTGTATTTTGGGGTGTGAATTATGCATGAATTGAGTTGAACAAATGAAACTGCTGTGGAAAATCAAATTAAGTGGGTTTTCTTAGTCTACTTTCTTTGAGAAATAGAGGAATTTCTGATGCTCATTTACAAGCTTTATTAAAAGCAAAACTTTCTTTAGCTAAATAACAATGAACTCTTTTTAATATACTATACATGTTTGAACTAAGTTGAATAATTTAATTTCTTATATTCATTTTTAATTTGTATAATTTCCCCTTTCAAAAGCCAAAAGATTTATATGTCATAGTCATAAATAAAAGTTGAAATACCTTTACTTCCTCAACCTTATGATTTCCTTTGACATGTCACAGGAATTCCGTCTTCATCTTCCCCATGTGAATCGTCAAATTGAGTGTAATTTCTCACATTTTCCTTGATTTTTTCCTTGTGTCTGTGACCAACTCTCAAAAATCGATTCAAATCAGTTGGATGAGTTCTGTCAACGACAAAAACCCTCAATCAAAAGGGCGGAGGGAGGAGTTCTGTATGCCAAAAATTCGGGCTATGCATCGGGCAATTCAATTACAAAGCCCAGCAGGAGCTCTTTCTTTTGGCCTCAGCTACCTTCTTTTCACTTGTCATGTCAATGACCAGGTTGGGCTCATCGCTCACCTGGCGACATGTCAACCAGGAGGATGGGTAGCTGGAGGAACAGCAAGGCAGCAGGAAATGGGGCGGAGACAAAGTTCCAAAGATAAAGCTCTTGGCATGAATATGCAGCTGATGTGCACTTGCACCCCGAACCCAAGCCAGAGCCACCAATCCCCTCCAGCTTTGGCCCTTTTTTCCCACATTTTCCAACGCTTTAGCCCTAAGCTCCTGGCACACAGAGAAAACATTTATAGGAAAAGAAAACTTATCTAAATAAATGTACATTTCAAGGCTTCCAGAATATGAATTCTTTGTTATTTTAATATGAAACAAAATGTATTTTATATAAATGGTTTATCTTTCAATTAGCATAGCTGTTCATATATATTTTTATATATTGTATGTATTATAATAGCTATTTCCTTCCGTGTACTCACCGACGACAGTCTTTTGCACTCACATTTTGCACCATGCAGTCAGTTTTCTGCCATCGAGAAAAAACATTGAAAAGCGAGTCATAGATTTCCGTTTGTGCGCCTCGGAAACAATGGCATTTTCATGTTGCACGTAAAACGAACCAAATAAAGCCGGGGAAAAAATACGAGGAGAAGGTACAAGTACAAGTACTACTATCGAACAATATAACTTAAGTGCAATTCCGCTTTTTTATCCATATATTCCACTGCCACTGGCGCCTTTTTAAGTGAAGTGAACCAAACGAATAACAAATCACACACAAATCGCAGCGATAATGGCAAATGAACCTAAAGTGCCCTGGGGATAAGGAAAATTCGAAATAAAACTCTACTTCCGGTAGAGCTAGGTTTTGGAAGATAAGACTAAGTAGGAACCTTTGTCCCTCTGAGTTTGTATAAATAGTCAGGGAAAACTCTGGTTAAGACACAGTTCTACTGAAATCCTCATCATGGTAAGTCCACCTAGAGGACCTAGGGAGTTAGAAATTAATTCCAAACTTCCTCACCAGCAATTCCTACGACTGCTGGTTCTCTTCGGCTTACTCCTGGCCTCCCAGGCTAGAACTCTGGATCAGGAGAAGATTCCGGAACAGGAGAAGGTGGCCAATCAAGAGATTGCCTCGCCTCCTGAGGCTGTCGAGGCTGTGGAAGTTAAGCAAGAAGTTTCCCAGGGAAACCAGGAACCAAAACTTCAAATCAGTAACTCGATTAACACCCAAGTCATCCAGGAAGCTCAGCCATCCCAGTCTAATTCCATTCAATCTGTGGATGCCCAGGCCAATCCCGAGGTCAAGTCTGAGGAGAAAGAAGCCATTGCCAATGAGATAGCCAAGGAACAGGAAGAGCAATCCCCTAAAGAGGAAATCCCCAAGGAAAACGTAGTGCCGGTGAAGCCATTAGAAGTCCAAGGACGCAACAACGGCAATGTCCAGTATGTGTACGATTCAAACGGCCAACTTTTGGGTATCCAAGACCTGGAGAAGATTTTCAAGTACCAGGGAGTGCAGGTGATTAACGGATCCGAGATTTCCAATCAGTATCAGAACCAGTACGGCAATCCCTTCAACAAGTTCCATTCCTTCCCGAAGGTGGAGTATGTGCCGGATACCGTGACTGTGGTGAACACCACGGGTGCCAATGTGACCCATCACATCCACAATCACACTCATTATTATCCCAACCAGAAGAAGCCCGGATTCCCATTGCCCTTCCTGCCCAATCTCTTCGAGAAGAACGAACCCACCTATGTTCAGGTTAATTTGAACTCATCCTCCGGCAACGTGACCCAGCACACACACGTCCACGAGGAGACCAAGCCCTTCCCCTTCCTGCCCAATCCCTTCACGGATTTCCCCAAGGTAGTGGGTCTCAGCCTGGTCCTCCTCCCCAATCCATTCTTTGTGAACAAGAGCCAGAGCAACCTGGGCAGTTCCTCGGGCAATGCCCAGTATCAGTATTACCAGAAGTTCCGCGCCTTCGCCGATGAGCCTCAGCAGAAGCCAAACTTTTACCTGGTGCCCAATCCCCTTGGGAATCAAGTACCCACTGATGGTCAAAAGGCTGGCGATGGCAACTTTATACTGCCTGTGAATCTGGCTGCTCTGCCGCTCCTGGTTCCCACCTCGGAGGTCAGCCCAGGAAAGGTCTCTTCCGTCTCCGCAGGCAGCATCAAGTTCGAGGATCTGATCAAGGCCACCAATGTCCATGTGAGCCAGCCCTTGAAGCTCCAGGCCAACAACGGGGTTAGCCAGTTCCAAAAGGATCAGGCTGCTGTCCAGCAGATGATCCTCAGCCATCTGAACCAGCAGCAGAAGCTCTTCCAGAAGCAGTCGCTGGTCCCTGATGAGAAGCGTTCCCACTCCGCGGTCGAGCCAGCTGGAGTCCAGGCGGAGGAGGAGAGCTCCGTCCTGTTCGCTGTGGAGATCCCAAAGCCCATTTACCGCTTCTTCAAGGGCATCTTTGGGGGATTCTCCAACTAAGAGAGTCAGGAAAATATTAATAATAACCGAAAGAACAATCAGGAACAAAGCAGGAATCACGAACCAAGGAACACGATTAGTTTTAAGATATTTTTACCCTAAATTTATATCAAGACAATATCAAGACAAGGAGTCCCTTTATAAAAAATAAATTGCACATTAAACCCACAAAACTCTTGGCTTAAATTGCAACTAATTAACTTAACTATCTTAAATTAATTTAATTAGAGTCCTAACCCTAGCAGAAACCGAATCAGCAAATTAAAACGATATTAAAGCATCTGTTTTTAGGCAACCCCAAGTCGAAAAAAGGAAAACAACTGCAGAATGCCAACAGAAATCTAACCTGTTCCACAAACACATTAAGAGACCCACAAACTCACCCGAAACTCAATTTCGAGGAAGTAAACTCGAGCAAATATGATAAATGTGTGTATTTTGGAATCATTACCCGGGCATTTCATTCATTTGCAGAGCCAGGAGCTAGGGGAGGTGGCGCCATTCCCTATTAGGTTATCAAGCCGAGATGGATATAATCAAAATGTGAACCCACACACACGTTCGCAGAGAGTAGTACCATTATGCTGAATATATTCCAGGCAACTGCACTCGTGACTACTCAGCTCAATCCTCTAGGTTTTGCACCCCTTTTTCGCCGGTTTATCCCTGCATTTTCGTTTCGAAGCCAGGACTCCGGATGTGGAGATGCTCACAGGCATTCGCACACGAACTCCATGTGCATCCTTCTGCTGCCGTTTTGCCATTTTAATGAATACATAATTAGTCTTTTTGCCAAGCTCTCTCTCATTCTGTGCAATCTCACCCTCGAAAAAGGTCACAGCCAAGGCCCCCATTCCACCCCCGGGTGCTCCTTCTTTGGCTGATGATGCTGATGCTGCTCCTGACGAGGATGCTACTGCAGCACCTGTTCAAATCATTCGCAATCTGAATTTAATGTCCATGCAGCAACACGTTCCATGGACCTGCACATCATCTATGGTCTGCATACACTTGAATTAAATATTATTAAAAATACTAAACATTTAATCCTGAAACGATTGGTAATAGAATTTAGTTCAAGGACTTAAGGTAGTTACATTTCTTAAATCAATATTTATCAAATATATTATATGATAGTTTTTTAGACTTATTAATGATTAAAAATACCATAACTTATTTAAAAATGCATTCATTTCAAATCGGAAACCATTGCTGTGCTAGTTTTTATAAGGTTATTAAATGTACATACTCAATTTATAATTTTAAAAAATTCAATTTTTGGTCGAATTTAGCAAATTTTAATGATGTAACCCCTTATGTTTTTTTCAAATTTCGGAAAAAAATGCAAACATTTATTTTGCCACTAGACATGGCTAGATCGATTCAGTTGTTCATTCTGAACAATAATATATATGATTTATAGGGTCGGAAATGATTCCTTCATTGTGTTTAAAGCTTCTGATTAATACTAAGACCCAGCAAAAAGGTATAAAAGCCGGCAATTTTTGTAAAAATTCAGTGTTTTGCAAACATCATAATTATGCCAAAAATGCCTTAATTTCAATTCGGAAAGCTGTTCTGTGCTAGTCTTTATAGCGCTAACAAATCTGCATACTGCATTTGTTGATGCTGTTAAAAGCTTGGGACTGAAATTATAATAACCAGAAAAAAGGTATAAAAACAGGAAATTTTTGTAAAAATGCAGTGTTTTGCAAACATCATAATTAAGCAAAAAATGGAAAAATTTCAATTCCAAAAACTGTTCTGAGCTACTTTTTATAAGGTTAACAAATCTGCATATTTAGTTTTTGATTTGAAAGATTACAATTTTTTGTCAAATTTCGACAATTTTAAGGATGTAACCCCTTATAAAATTTTTAAATTTTGACAAATTTTTTCAAGATTTATTTTTCGACCGGACATGGCTAAATCCATTCGGCAGTTAATGCTGATCAAGAATATATATAGTTTATAGGGGCGGAAATGATTGCTTCACTGAATTTTAAGATTTTAACTAAAATTATAACACCGTGCCAGAGTATTCATTTTAAACTATGAAATATAATTAAGAGCTCTCCAAACCCCTCCAAATCTTATTAATATAAGTCTCGAAAAGTGTATTTAATCTATTATTTAAACATTAATTAATACAATATATAATCTGTTTAAATATGAGAATATTTGAACCCAATCCAAAACCCTTTTTCCAGTGCATTGCCACTGCAATGTGTAGTTCTCTTCTTATAGGTTCATTTTATACTCTTATGCAATATGGAGATAATGTTTGCTCCTGTCCAGGTCCAGCTACAGAGAGATAGAGCGAGAAAGCAGCACATAATTGCCGGGATTACGTTGGATCATAAAGTTTTTCCCAGGCATTTTGCAATTGTGTTTGCATTTCCCTTTCCCCATTATCGGGGATTCCCCATCAGGAGGAGCAGGAGTAGGTGGAGGGCAGCGGCAGGAAATTGCTGTTTGCTGGATATCGTTTATTTAATATTTAATTGAATTCGCTGCAGAGCCGAGTTTTTTTTTGTTCCATTATCAAACTACCCGCTCAGGTATTCCGGCGAGAGTCCTTGTGCGGGACATTAGTGCCGGCTTATCGGGTTCATTTTCAATGGGCAAATTGCGACGGGCGACGGTGAGTGGATGATATTTCCGAAAAAATTACATTCGACCACCAAATGCCATTCGAGTAAATTCCTGGCGATTGTTATCGGTTTGTTAACAGTGGGTTCACCGCAGGAGCCAGTGTATTATCTGGCCAACGCTGCGTATACGCAATATTTTCACTTTAAACTGTATAGGAGAGTACTGGGGGAGGGCAACTGGAAACTGGAAAAATATAAAATAAATTAATAACTTCTAGTTAAAGCCGGAAGCCGCATCCTTTGCAGAGCCGCCTTTTGGGCCCCAAGTTTATTACTCAAAGGAATTGGATAGAGTCTCAAAGTAGCAGCAGCAACGGATGCCCATAAATATATCATGAAATCAAAAACTTTGCCACAACTTCTACTTCTGGTTGGCTGCTCGCCTCTTCTTTTTGATTGGTGGCAGGACCCCCCTTCGTCCTTAAGGATCACACTGTTAGAAAAATTGGAGAGCGCTAGATCAGGGAGCTATAAAAAATATAGATTTGTAAATATGTAATAAGTTTCATTTTGGGGTATGGTTTAATACTTGAATTCTAGGCTTAGGTTATGGCCTCCTAACACTTATTTTGTGGCTTAAAAATATGATTTAAAAGCTATATAAATCCTTTGCTTTTTAAAAAATTTAAAGGATTGTTATTACTTCTACTGTATCCTTAACTTTTCCTTGGTGCACTCACCCACTTGGCCGCCCTAAGCTTGCGTGTAAACGTGTGGGGCAAAGTGCTGGCCACACGAACAACAAGATGAGTAGGAGCTGGGGCAGGACTAAGAGCAGGGGCAGGACTAGGAGCAGGGGCAGGACTAGGAGAAGGAGCAGGAACAGTATCTCAAAGCATCAGAGTAATGCGTTTCCGCTTCCGGACGACAGCTCCTTCCAATCCTAGCATCCTCCCCATCCTTGGCCTTGGGTTCTCGCCCAGTCAATTCAATAAAACTTGTGTCCATTTCATTTAAAATTCTCTGTTCTATCTCAGGGCTGGAGCAGGAGCCAGCAGGCGTCCTGGCTGGCAAATTAATGGTGTTAAAATTAGTGCCTCGGACGGAGTGGCTGCCCGCATCCTCAGACCTAGCAGGAGAAACTTTGCCATCTGCCTGAGGAGTCCTCACCAGCTTCTATTTATTCTATTTATTTAGTTGTCACTCTGTAGGAAATTATGCCATGTTGTTGCTCCTGCGACACGTGTAACCGGCTCTTGGCCCTTTTTACCTGGCACCTTCATAAAAAAAGGTGGAAACTTTTTCTTCTTCAAGTTTCCATTTTAAGGAAACTTTTTTCTAACTTTTCCCCGGTCTTCTTTTCCTTTCAGGTGCGATTCCGGAGCGACGTTTTTTTGGCATCCTCCGCTCGGCGAAAAGGAAGGAAGGTAAGTGGCTTGTGATGAAAATGAAGCCTTTCCATGGGAAAACCGAATATTTCCCTAATGAAACCAATTAAGCACACAGCCAAATGGCCAAAAATTGTGGCTGCAAAATGATGAAAAATCAAAGGCTAGACAAAGGGTAAACATGGCAGAGAAAGGGTGAAAGTGGATGGTCGAATGAAAGAAGGGATTGCCTCAATCACGAAATGAACACACAACACCAGGGGGAGGAAAAGTTACTGTCGATTGATAGGACTTTTCAAATTTAAATGCTCTCTGTGGTTGATTTAAACGAGCTTAAATTAAGGTGTATCTTGGCAGGGAAAAGGGATACAGATACAGATAGAGATATAGGGAATTTTGAAGCCAAGAAATTTAAATATAATCCAAGATAATAGAAAGAACTTGGTCTTTTTAAATTATGATTTATATACTCTAATCTTAAGCCTATTAATTTCTGTGTTAGAAACCCAGCGAAAAATCGCATATTAAAAGCGAATTTCATACCTCCAGCTGTGCCAATTTCCCACACAACACACATATCCCCCATAGAGTTGTAGTAGGTTTTTCCTGGCCGTGCAAAAGCCATTTGCCAAAATCAATACATTTATTTAGACCGCAGGGCTCAAAAAAAGGGAGAGAAAAGCAAAGCGGAAAGCAAATCAAATGCCGACGAAAACGACACAAAATGTATTTAGCGTTTGGCCAGATATACATATGTATATACATATATATATCGAGAGACAGAGCGGTGAAAATATATTGTAAAGGTAACTCCCGAGTCTGGGAAACTCGAACCAAACTGCCTATTTGGTTTTGGTTTTGGCCAAATCGTTTTACGCTTTGTTGCCGCCAGCCATTCGGCCAGCCAGGATGCAAATATGTGCACAGGCTTAACGTATCCAATAAAGCCAGGACAGAGAAGGACAGTGACTGACAGGGCGAGAGTAGGAGCCACTGATGGACAAAGCTCTGCGGACTCAGCTCGTCATCATTGGACATAAGCAGCTCAGTGCAGCTCATACAGAGGAAGAAGGATTTTGCGATTTTAGGAGAGCTCTAATTTACTTAATTGCCTAAAGACAGTCCAAAGTCTGTTTTTCCTTGGGAAAAGTGGGAAATGATGAAGTTTTCTAAGCTGCAGAACCGCTTACTTAATCAAAGGTGATTTTAAATAGGTTTAAAACACATTCTGATCACTCTGATTACTCACTTCAAATTAATGGTATAATCTCAGGGATTTATTATGACTTTAATTCAAATTTAATAACATTTTCCCCCAGTGCAGTGTCTCCCTGGCTCATCCGCTTAGTTGGCTCCGATCTGGTGTCTCTACCACGTGTCCGTCCGGTGCAGATTAGACCTGGCTGGAGTCCCCAACAACTTCATCTGTTGTGGGGGGAAAAGTGATGTGGAGTGGGCATCGTGTGCGCTTTTTCGTGGGTTTCATTGGTTTCACTGCAACAATGTTGTGGCGGTGCGATTTATATCGCTGGCCTTAAATGTCATTACCAGCTAAATGCCTTTAAAGAGGCCCCATCCATTTGCCCTGACCAGTTGGCGCCAGCACTGAAGGTGCGACCAGTGACCAGTGACCAAGAGGCCACCCGTCGCGTGTCTCCTTTGGAAGCAAACAGAGGAGAGGACCGAACTATCTGGGCAAGATCAGGTTTTCCTCAAAGAGGCAGAGAGGGACTCCAAGTCCAAGTCCAACTCCGACTCCTCCCCGGGGGCAGACGCATTTATCATCCCGTACCCGTGACGCGCTGTCGCCTTCAATTACACGCAAATTATTCTGCGCTCAGCGAACGGGAGACGGGACGGCGGCACCTGTGTCTTACCTGGTCTTCCTACATCCGTGTTTGAGTGGATTTTATCTTCATTGCAAAAGCCACATCTGCCGGGGCGGCCAGTGATCAATCTGCCTTATGTCAAGCTCTGGCCAAACCGATGCCAATCTGATGCTCCAGTTCGGATGGCTGCTCTTGGCAGCGATTAAATTGATTGATCAATGGGTATTATTTGGGAAAGGCGGATTATAGTTCTAACTTGTGTTATTATGAGGTATTTGAATGGACGATCTAAGTTGGGTGTTAATATTACATATAGGGAATTGAAGAAGACTAGATTAAGCCATGCCGTTGGAGATGTTTTATACCTTGTCGTTGGGCTTACTCCTCTTAAAGTTACCTTAGTTACTAATGTAGTTTCCTGTGACTAAGATTAAAGTACCTTAAACTGGCATTTGAATCTGAATATTTCCTCTGCTCAAGTGCCAATGCTCGTTTCTTTTTAATTGTCCACTAAAATATGCCGCATGCCCGTCGAGGCGAGTCGAGAGCCATGCAAATACTTGAAGTTTGCCTCAAGTATGCGACTGCAGTCGCGGACTCCACATCCCTGCCTGCCAGAAATGCCACCTCCTCCTGGTACCCCAACTGCTACTCCTCCTCCGAGTGCTTTCTAATTAAACAATACAAATGCGGATTGTGGACTCAAAGACAAAGACACGCATTCTGTTGAATTGGAATTTCGGTGGCGGTGTCGAGCTGATGATGATGATGCTTTGTCAACAATTTCGCAATGCAAATGTGCAAGTATTGGGGGGAAATGGGGAGACTCTGATGGCGGGAATTTTATAATTAATTGAAAATTTCACAAGATTCACATACACTCATACACGCCGTAAATCGTTAGTTGTCTTTATTCACAAGTAGGCATCCCTTAGGTCTATGAAGTCGTCCAGCTCCTCAGCGTAATCCTCCACGGATCCACCGGTTTCGCCGTGTCGCGAGTAATGATTGAAAATCATGTCCCTGGTCGCCGGAGCCACTTTGCCACTCTCGCAGTCGTGCATATCCTCGTACGTGATTTCGCCGTGTCCTTTGCCCCTGCCCATGCTGCCCAGGTCGTAGCTGCCATAACCAATGGATCCTCCGTTGCCTCCTCCGCTGGCTCCTCCTCCTCCTAAACCCTTGGACATCCCGTTGCCATTTCGCTCTGCTCCGTTGGAGGCGAAGCCCATCACTTTGTATACTGTCTGCTTGATGCCACCATGTCCTCCGCCTCCACCGCCGTGGGCATGAACCACCTTGTAAACGGTGTGGGTGTGATGGTGTGTCTTCGTCTTGACCGGCACATGGATGATGAGGCGACGGTGGGCCAGGCGGCGCGCCGCAATTCCCGTTGCCGTTAGCAGGAGCATTACGGCCAGGAGATTGCCCGCCAACAAGTGACTTCGCGTTGTCACCTGTGTTTTGAGATAGTATTCAGGGAAAGAGGGTTAATAACAAATTGTGTGGGTTAAGAGAGGAGTGTCTTGTTCGTAATTAAATTTAAAGAGATACTTGGAGGTCGTTTTTGAGCAGCAATTAAAGGGATATAATTATTTTGAGAAGATTTAGGGTTACAGAACTAATTGTTTGCCTCTTTAAAATTGCATCATTAAAAATAAGATGCAATTAAGAAATGTAGACGTTATATCCGGTTATATATTAAAAATAGTATAAATTATTCTTTGGGTTTAAAACTTATAAGGGGATATTAAAATGGATATCTCTATTTGGCTTTAGTTTTAGTCTTAGCATCTTCAAGTATTTGAAGATATTGATATATTGAAACAAACGTATAGCTTGGATTATATTTTCAAGAATTAACTTTATCCTTTTGACACACTGCCTTAAACATAACAGGGTTCAGTTAAACAATTATTCACAAATTTTCTTGATATAATGTTGAGCTCGTAGGGAAAGTCTTAAAGTTTTCATTTATTGGCAAGTCCTTTTTGCAAATTTTTCCGATATTCTTGACTCACTTTGGTCATTTTAATGCTGGTGCTGCTGATGATGCTGATGCTGCTGCTGGCAGTTGTGGTTAATTCCCGACGTTGCCCGTTTGTTTGTCAAGCAGATCCTTTAATTAATCCTTTAGTTTGTCCAGTCGGACCACCGAATGGCGCGAACTCACTTTCAGCACTGTGTTCGCCGGCTGCAATCGATGGGGCTTTTATATTTGGATGCGGTAATCAGGTTCAGTGCACCATGGCACCATATATACACATCCAATATGTACACCTAGCCATCCACCTATAATACCTATCCATCATTATCTTCGGCATGGCGTCGGCGGTGTCGATTGCATTGCAGTGCAGCCTCCGCGGAGCCGCAACATTTGCATGTGCAGCGCCACAGCAAACACACAGTCGCGTCCATTTGAGTTACGTGTGCCTAATTATTGCTTACAGCTTGTAGAGCATTGTGACACTGAAAGAAAATAGGGGGAAATATTTCTGCTAATTTTATATCGATAAGATTTAAGAATTTGTTTAATAAGTGCCTTTTTATAATAACTAAAGACCTTGTTTCTTTAATCAATTTAGACTTAATTAAGGTTTAGAACCATAGCAAGCTTGCTTTACACTAGAATTGCATTAGAATCTTAATTTCCTAGGTGACTTACCAATTTTCTCTCAGTGTTGCCTTAAACCTTGGGGCGCGGTCGGTGCTCAGTGGAGCGCTCCAAGTATTTTGCGCCAAACAAAAACATTTTCGCCATTTCGCCACAGCTTCTCTCATCCATTCCATTCGATCTTCTCCTGAATCCAAATCGGAAGCGGCGTTTCTGGTGGCTGGCTCTGGGAGCCGGCGAAACGGAATTACCATTCCGTAAACCATGGAATCTCACATACGACGACGACACCGCCTTAAATCCAATCCCAAAGTCATGGCATTCAATATTGAGACGAAAGCTTTGTTCAACATTTTATGCAATGCCGCGAAATGCGGAAAAGACATAGATTCGCGCGTGTTTTGTATTATTTTGCTTCTGCATTTTTCACTTAACATTATTACTTTAATTAACTGGCAAAGCATGCGAGAGGTGGCCAGGGGCCAGTGCTTAATTCGTTGCGTATTAAATATGCATTTCATTAGCATTTGCCAGCGATCGATTGCATTAGCATACGTAACTTGGACATTGGTTCACCCGGTTTACGGGGCGTATGCGTAACGTATCGTAACAGGGGAATAGGCGTCGTCTCTCTGTCCTCCGGGGAATGTTTTTAAAGTTTTTTTTTTTGAGGGTTTTATGGGGGTTTCTTTTCCTAAACTAAATAGTTAACTTGATTTCATATAGTTTCCCCCTTTGGTTTTTATGAATAAGTGTTATATAATTAACCTATATCAGTATTTATATTACTACTTGTTATTACCTCATTTCCTTACACAACATGTTCAATAATCTTTTTAATTAACGTATTTGTAAACCTTTACCTTCCCTATTATAAAATATCCCATATTTTACAAATTATTCTTCCTTTTTCAAATACCTTTTCTATTGTTTATTTTTTTTTTATTTTATTAGGTCATTAAAGTTTATAGTCATTTGTTTTAATAATAAATCTCTTACTAAATCATAAATGTATAAAAAGGTATTTTCTACATGCTTCTATAATAAATTTTTTTTACTTTAATGTTTGGTTTTGCCTCCTTATACAATTCAATTTAACGATGTTTTACTTTCCATTCAATAACCTTTATTCAAACCATAACTCTTGAGATTAATTCAATTAATTTCTCTGTGGGAATCGTAAAGTTATTATTATTTAATTTTACGACTTTCGGCTATTAATTGGCAGCTGGCAATCAGCAAAAATTTAGCTTATATATTTTTCTGCTTGAGTGACTGCCAGCACAAGTGTACTTACTACACATATAGTATGTGCACTCCCAGTCCCTCAGGCTCATTATGTGGATTTAATATCGCGCCCAGAATGTGCACTCGTAAAAAGCACCGAAGGACGAAAAGCCCATGAAAATCCCAGGCTCCTGAATCCATAGCATATGGCTAATGAAACGTGGCCCGAGAAAGTTTTACCCTCGTTTTTTTTGGGAGTCTGGAGGAGCAAGGCCAACAGATAAACTGCAGTAATAAGTAAACGCCGAAATGCGTTGTGGAAAACGTGCGCCATGAATTCTATAACTTTATGGCCATGGCCGCACTCTAATTGTTGGATATACCCAAAGGATACGTCCAGGACCTGTTCAACATTAAGTGCGTTGATGCCTTTTGCCTTCACCTTCACCTCTTTTACACTGGTTTAATGTCCTGGTCGAGGGTATTACTGGGTAGAAAGTTTGACTTAGGGGATGTTAGGGATTTTAGATTATAGCCATAAGTTTTATAAAGATGCAAAAACTTGCAACTTACTTGTACAATATATATATTTTTTATATATATAGTTATACCCTGGCAGAGTATTATATTTTTAGTTAGAAGCTTCAAACTCAATGAAGGAGTCGTTTCCGACCCTATAAACCATATATATTATTGATCAGCATCGCCTGGCGAGTTAATCTAGCCATGTCCGGTTGAATTCTAAATTTTTTAAAATTTTTCAAAATTTGAAAATTTTATAAGGGGTTACATCATTAAAATTGTCAAAATTTGACAAAAAATTGAATTTTGTATATTTGAAAACTGAGTATGCAGATTTATAAGTGCTATAAAAACTAGCACAGAAAAGTTTTCTAAATTGAAATTAATGCATTTTTGGCTTAGTTATGCGTTTTTTAAACTTTGATTTGTCAATAAAAATTGTAATATAAATTTAACTATAAATAACTATTTATTTCTACTTCTTCTTTTTCATCATTTTTAAAGTAAACACTTATCTATCTTCAAAGGGTATTGATTATGTCGCTATCCTATTTGAGTTCCTTTTCTCTTAACTCCTTTCATGGCTGTTTGCCCGGGTGTAGTAATAATTTTGATCAACTTTTATAAGCGGCGTCATCAACCTGTGTGTGTCCCGGGATGAGGATGAGGATTTTGGGGCTTCTTGTGCAGGGGGCTTCCAACATGGCTAACAAACTAACAGCTAACAGCTAACAGCTGCATGAGCTCAGGCCGCCGACTTGTTGTTTGTGTGTGGCCTTAGTTATGCCTAGCCATAAACTGCATGCGAAATTACCAAAAAGCAGGCATCCGCACACCCACACACTCTCCCCCGATTATGGGGCCAAAAAGTTGCTCATTTACAGCAATCTGGCTGAGAAGGATAACGCGGGGGTTGCCTAGAGAGGATGCTGCTAATAAAATGAAAGCCGAGGCGCTAACAAGCCGCAGCGGAGACTGGATGGAGGGAGAGTGGAGAGGGATTACACCGGAAAACCCAACTGGCAGGCACTGAAACTAACCCAACCAAGCAGAGTCGTAAATCCTGGCTCTGCAGCCTCATCCTCAATCCCCATTCCCTTGCCCCAAAAAAATAAAAGTCCCTGCACTAGCCACCCAAAAACCCAACCCGTGTCCGGGCTAAGCAAACTCGTAAATTTGAGGAAATTACAACATGAAAGTCCTGGCCGGCAATGCGCGACTCTAAATTAAATAAAAATACACTGGGGTGGGCATTGAAATGGATGCACCGAGGGAAAATAGGGGAAATATTGGGTTTAATTGCAGAAACCTGAATAAGAAATATATTATTTTAGTGAAGGAACTTCCTAAACCTTATCTTAATTATTTCTTAAAGCATGAAAGTCTTTTTGAATATCAAGAAAAACTTTGATCAGGAGACTTTTCTTTCATCTCAATTTGGCATTTTTAAACCTCATCCTTTATGAAAGAAAACACTTTTTCCAGTGCACAAAGTTGTCGAAAAGGGGGTGAAATGCGACCAGAGTTGGCTAGTTGGTCAAAACTTTCCGCACCTGTTGGCCAAACTGAGAGGTAGGATCCGGGAGTGGCTGAAAAGGGAAGGCAGTCACACAACCTGGCGTTAATTAAAGCTGCAACATAAGCTCTCGCAGGACACAGTCCGATGATTCTGGTGGATTGCTGAAACTCCAAACAGGAGCAGGAGACTGGGTGGGGTGGCCACTTGGGATTGGGAGCTTGGAATGGGGAAGCTGGCCGGGCGATAGAGCGAGCTCAGATTTGTGGCAATGGCGGTAGGAAAAGTTTCGCCCATCCGGTCGAGAGGCGAGATTTATGTCAAACTAAAGCACTTGATGGCAGAATAGTTGGCATTTAATGGCTGCATTATTGGAGTTTGTTTGGAAAGTGCCGTAACTAATGGGTCACGGCTCTGTGAGATTCGAGGGCGGATCTGCAGGTTAATGCGTACAAATTGCCATTTATCTGTGGTGAACTTTCGGGGCCAGAAGCCCATAGTGCCTTTCCACAGGTGGAAAGGTAACTAATGTCCTTGGACAGAGCTTCGAGTGGGGGAATTAGTACAACTCAATTTGTGTCACCTTCTAAGGGAAGTAAGTTCCATTCCAATGGGTTTTGTTGGAGTTCTGAAAGAGCTTTTATGGCCAAGTGATCTTTGGCTAGATATCGTAAAAAGATATTGCCAGCTCTAGATTTAATGTAATTACTAGAAGAACAATAGATATTGTTAGTAAATGTAGAAAGCAAATGAAATGTGCGTAAAGCCTATGCAAGGCTTTGATTTTCCTCCATCAAAAGCTTAGATTTTATGGCATAACTCGGCTTCCGCTTATCTAAAGTCATCCTCGTTGAAACCTCTCCCGATCCATTCCGTTCCGTTTGGTTCCTTCTGGCCGGGAGTCAAATGTGGCCCACATCAAAGAATGTGATGGCCATCAGGGCCACCTGTGCATGTCCAAAAAGGAGGCCCACCCAGCAGTACGAGCAGCACCACAGGAAAATCGAGAATCAAGAACGCGAATAGAGGAGCTGCCAGAAATGGCCCCAAGGAGTGGGAGTAGGAGGAGCTGGAGCCGGAGCAGGAGCTCTTTGGCTTGGGCAATAAATTTCGATTACATAATTTGTAAATTGTTATAACCCGGCGAAATTACCATGAAATCTCTCTTGCAAGGCATTAAAAAATCTGCCACTTCTGGGCGGGAGTAGAAATGAAAACCTTTTTTGCCTGCCAAGGCTTTTGGAGGAGGGTTCATAAAGTTTTATGGTGTTTGACTGCAGAGCATCTAACAAACAATGGGTTTGTTGTGGGATGTGGCTTTAGATTTGGATTTGGGGCCTATTCTCCAGGCTTGCACTTCCTGCTCAGATGCCTGGGTGGGCTGGATCACACCGAGAGAAATTATTTAGAGTAA